ATTAATAGCTCCATTGTTAATACTTGAAATTTGCGGCTATAGTCTATAAAAATAGTCAAAATTTACTAAAACCTACATTCGGCATATCTCCAGCACTGTTTAAAAGTATTGAAATTTTGTATTTTTAATGAGTTAAATACAAATAATAAAAAAGGTACTGAAATGTGAAAATTACCAACTGGCCCACATAAACATTTAAATTTGTTTTCCCTCTCTTTTTTCCAATTTTGACTGCAGAAAAACATTGAATTACTTACATTTTGCCTTGAATAATAGAATATGCTTAAAGTACAATTTATCATTTTAAAAATGTTGTATGAATTATTAAATAGACCTACAATTTCTCTAATTTAAAATATGCCTAGTCCTCAGCCCTAGCTAGCTTAAAAATGGCCAAAATTTACAAAAACTCATTAGCATCTTTTAACTGTCACTGTAAGTGCATCCATTCAAAAAAAAAAAATCCTTACTACTAGGCATAACCTGTTGTACCAGGTGTCTATAAAATGAAGACCGAAGACCAAAGGCCCAAAAAGGAAGACCCCTATTTTTTCGCCTTTATCTTAATAGTAATACACCTGGCCTATGGGTGTCTACAAAACGAAAAATGAAGATATAAAATAAAGACCAAAAATTGAAAATTAAACATGACTTACCTGCTGTAAGTTGAAGTTTAATTCTGCGAGTTGCAGTATATATTAAGAGTAATTATAACATAAATTTGAATATAAAGAAGGTTCAGTTCCACTAATATATTGTAGGTGCTGTATTGGAAGTTATACAGTAGCCTTCTATAGTTGATTGTTGTATTTTTAAACTAAATGACTCTAAGATTTTCCTTCTGCTATAGAGGCACAGTAGACAAAATATTTATAAATACTGCACTGCTTTATTTTGTGAATATGATTGTGTATATGAGTTAAGGGTCATGGAACCAGATAGTAAGCTTGTTCTGTACTTGGCAAGTATAGCACTGTTCAGGTACTTATAGTATGTGTTAGTGTTACACTATTTATTAAATATTTGAATTGAAGTGATTGACTTTTGTAGAACTTCTCCACTCCTGGCTGACAACTCGCAGAATTGCAATTAAACTTTAAATTTCAATTCAACGAAGACCCTTGGATATTTCACAAATAGACGTCCAAATAATTCCGTAATTTTCCTTTTGTGATTCCTTGGTGTTATAATTAAAATAAAAGATAAAAAAATAGGGGTCTTCTTTTTTGGGTCTTCGGTCGGTCTTCGTTTTATACAGTAGGTAGCCGATCATTTCGGTCGCGCCTCACTTCACTGCCCGTTTACTGCAATCACAGAGATATAAAAATTATTTTTACATCTCCCTGCTGCAATTTAAGTCATTACTTAGAGAAAAATATCGCAATAGCCTAGGTCGGGGGAGGTTAAACGAATACCCGGTTAAACTATAAAATAACCAAATTAAAGGCCTACAGTAATACTGATTGGAATTTAGCTTAGTTTATTTGCTGTCAAAGTATGATAAACCGATTGACGAACTTATAATGATAATGAGGCCTAGGCCTAGTAATAATAGTATTTAAATTTTGCGTTTTCGAAACAACATTGGTGCTCCATATATTTGTTTAAAAAAATATACCGCGACCGAAATGAATAGGCCTACCCAAATACAACGTTAAACATCTCTCTTAATTGACTAAGTGTTATTATTATATTATTAAGTTGACAGTAGGATGAACATTCGTTTCACTTACCTTTTCCTAAATCCTGTTCAAATTCAGCACAACTCTCTGAACCCACGTTGTGTCGTTGTTGTTTGTTTTGAAAAGCATGTGGCGGCCGCATCACTCTTTGGGCATCGGCCTAAAACACTACGCCATTAAAGTGGAATGATACAAAATTCTAGGCCTAGGCTTGGCCGGCCCTAGTTTGTTATAATATTATGGATTCGTAAAAAAAATTCTCTTCACTTCGGTATAATATTCTTGCA